GTGACTGACTTGAGACATCACAAGCCAACCCATTTCCCACGGCATCAATATGGCATAAAAAACACTAGGATTTTCAATTTGTACCACTTTTATTAACACATTACCAATGAGCACAAAGTTAATTACATAACCACATCTTTTGGGTTTACAACCACATACACATGCATAAACAATATCCGTAGGCATACAGCCTTTCATAATATAATATCAAATAACACTGCGAAGAATCAAAACTCCTTCACACTTCCAGCCTCACTATTGTCCCCGCTTGGACTACTACAACTGGTGCTGCTCCCTCAGAGGACATCGGCGCCAAACATGGCATGTCCAACCATATCGAAAACACCAAGGTGATCCTCTATTCTGAGGTTGACTCGAGAACGCCTAAGTCTGGCTAGACTCTTCAAAGGACGAGTCTAATGAAACGAAAGTAGCCCGAGGCGTCAACTACGCTTGCCTTACTAGGTCTACTACCTCTCAAAACAGTTGAACTTGTCGGTATGGACTTTTCCTCCTCATCCTGACCAACACTATCAATAACGGTCTCCACATGACCCGCCGCCTCTACCAAGGCATGGTAATCTCTATGCATTGCCCAACAACTCTTCTCCAAATAGCATCACACAACAGCCCTTCGAACTCAAGACAATGTCGCTCCCTTGTTGCAACCAACTCTGGAGGAAATCTCGACAAGTTAATAAACCATGCTTCAAACTATACCAAAGGTGCAATACCTTGGCATAACTCCATAAACCGTTTCCGTAACTTTTCCTGTGTGGAAGGAGGGAAATTGTCACTTCCTCGTCTAGGCATCCTAATAAGGGTAATAAGAGATATGCACATTCATAAATATGCCGAAGCTAACTCACTCGTGTCCTAATACTTTGGACAACAGTAATTCACTCTATATAAGTACATAATTACATAAGCACATACGAATTTCATTTCAAGATAATGACTGTCCCGCGGCATTGCTAGAGTGCCAATTAGAAACGGCAGTGATCAAGTGCCTTTCCAACAGGACTCCCAGAAACCCATAGATCCGATCAACATCCTAGAAACTAAATCTCATACCCATATAGTCACACAAACATGTTATCATATAAGCACATAACATCATACATAAGTCTCTAACAAGCAAGACAAGCCCATTATGGTACTAACCACTTCTCACGTATCCAAAGTATTCAAACCCGGTACGCTCTGATACCAAGTTGTAACACTCTCAAAATATTATACAAATTAACCATTCATAAGGTCTAGAGCTTAGTTGCACGAAGCGGGAGCGGGAGCGGGAGCAGGAGCGGGGAAGCGTGAGCTGATAGAAGATTCTTAGGTTGGGAGCGCCTCGGGAAGCGGTAATATACATATATATATATATATTCGTTATTTCTAAAATATATTTATTATTTTTATCTTAGGTATTATTTTTATAGATAATATTTTTAATTTATTTATATAATTTTTTTTAATTTTTAATTGATATATATTATAAATAAAAAACAGTAAAATAATAAAATATGTTAAAAAACAATAAAATAATAAAAAATAGTAAAATAATGATTTATTTTATAAATTTTATTAAATTTTTTTTATTATATTTGATTTAATTAGATTTATTATATTATTATATAACAAATTATATTATTTATATAACAAATTATATTATTTATTATATAATTATATTATTATCATTATATAACAAATTATATTATTTATTATATTTATTATATGTTAGAAACGGGAGGGGGAAGACGACGCAGATCGACAAGAAAGAAAGAGAGAGAGAGAGAGAGAGAGAGAGAGAGAAGAAGAAGAAGAAGAAGAAAGCAGAAGGAGGCGAGCAGATCGAAGGCGATGGCCATGGCGATTGTCAAGACGATCGAATGAAGAGCGAAGAGGAGTAGATCGCGAGCAGATCGCGAGGCGAGAGCAGATCAAAGGTCGATGTCGAAAGTCCGGGCGATGTCGAAGGTCGACGTCGATGTCGAAGGAGAAGGCGACAGACAGGTCTCTCTCTCTCTCTCCCCCCTTTTACGATCCATCTTGGACTGTAATCGCGGTTTCTCTCTCCACAGAACGCGTTTCTTACACGTTTCTTTCTAGGAAATGCGGAATCGCAATCTTACTAAGAATCGCCACCTGTTTGCACGATTCCTGCAACTAAGGTCTAGAGACATAATAGAAATGTTATTCTTTCATTCATCAGAGTTAATATTACAAAAGATATCACATGCATTACACTTTCATAAATATCCATCTTGAAACCATAGCATGTAACTCTAGTTTAGAACAACATAAATGTCCTAAAGGCTTACATCTTTCCAAGTAATCACTTGGTTAAACAAAAAAGAAAGTCAGAAGCTCTTTACAATTAAGCCCTTGGCTTAAAGAAGACATATAAACAACAAAATGAAATCACAAAAGTAGAGCTTTAGCCTCTAAGCTCCCAAGCTATGTCCTTGTGAGGTGGCACCGTCACCCTGTACCTGAAAATGGTTTCCCAAGTAGATGAGCCAAAGCCCAGTAGAGATATGCTAACCATACATGAGAATTAACTAAAATATGAGCATCAGATAAATGTGCAACATTCTTAACCAACACATATTCTTTTCAAGGTCATTCAATATAGATAACCAATATCTCAATTCATTTCCATTCTACCATTTCGGGTAAATCAATTAGCCAAATTCATTATTATCAAGCAACCAATATGAGACTACAACTCAATGGTTCACAATTCAATACATTCATCAAATCCAACACTTCTATTTCTTGCCATTTTGCGGAACCACGTCTGAGGGAACCGGCACCCATAAATATATAAGATTTTGGGACTTTCACCCTGGATACTCCGGCCAACTTAATTATCAATGGAGTCCATCCCCTATCTCCTCCCAAACAATGAAGTACATCCCCTATATCCTCCCAAACAAGGATACATATATAATGTATTCAAACACTTTGTCATATACAATGACTAATCAAAACACATATTCAATAGTTTAATCAAACCGTCATATTCAATGACATAATTCAATTGATTAGCTTCAATCATCCTAATTCTCATGCAGTTTCTACAACAATCATAACTATCTTCCACCGATAGCCCAAAACAGATATATCTAAACAGATAAATAAATCTATCAACAGATAATTTATCAAATTCCATAGGTGTGTGATTTATCAAACCAAACTACACCATTCAATCACATTTCTCCCAATTTCGTAATTCCCAAACCAATTTCATTATTTACAAAAATAGTTATTTCAACTCAACTTAGGGCAAAATTTCCCTTTTTTCCAAAATATCAACCCATAGGTCCAAATCTCACCACTTCAGCAATAAAGAACCTCATACACAAACCCCCAAGGTTACTTTGTAAATCAACATGGAAAAACCCCTTTAGTTTAGAACCCAAACCTTAACTTTTACCAAAATCTTCCCAAACCCCACCATTTATACAAAATAACAAATATTTAGGTTAAATCTCATATTAAAAAGTAGAATATCCCTACCTCATGCTTAGATGAGAGAGAGAAGAGAAAGCTCAAAAGTCAATGGCGACGAAACCACGTTTTGCCCCGATCAAAACGAAACCTTTGACAAACTCTACACTTTATCTCAAAGGAGCAAGGTGAAAAGATCACTCTAGGTGAGTAGATCTAGAGATTTAAGTGAAAAAGTTTGGATTTTAGAGAGAGAAGAGAGAAATCACGGTTTAAGAGGAAAAAGGGAAGGAAAATCATGGGAGAAAAATGGTTTGGGCCTATTTATAGTAGTGAGGAAAAGCCCTAAGGTCAAATAAAATAATGGGCCCAAAAACCCCTTGGATAGGGTCCATTCGAACCTCAAAAATCTGAAAAAAACACGCAGGGGTCGACCATATCTTCCAACAACCAACACACATACATAAGAAAATCAACATGAAAAACCCCCTTTAGTTTAGAACCCAAACCTTAACTTTTACCAAAATCTTCCCATTTATACAAAATAACAAATATTTAGGCTAAAGCTCATATTAAAGAGTAGAATATCCCTACCTCAAGCTTAGATGAGAGAGAAGAGAAAGCTCAAAAGTCAATTGCAACAAAACCACGTTTTGCCACGATCAAAACAAAACCCTTGACAAGCTCTACACTTTATCTCAAAGGAGTAAGGTGAAAAGATCATTCTAGGTGAGTAAATCTGGAGATTTAAGTGAAAAAGTTAGGATTTTAGAGAGAGAAGAGAGAAATCACGGTTTAAGAGGAAAAAGGGAAGGAAAATCATGGGAGAAAAATGGTTTGAGCCTATTTATAGTAGTGAGGAAAAGCCCTAAGGTCAAATAAAATAATGAGCCCAAAAACCTCCTTAGATAGGGCCCATTCGGACCTCAAAAATCTAAAAAAAACACGCAGGGGTCGACCCTTAGACAGGAGGGGGTCGACCATATCTTCCAGCAACCAACGCACAGACATAAGAAGGTCAACCCTCTCCAGTCTGGTGTCTACCCTATTTTCTAGCAACACTCCCAGAAACTTCACCAACAGTTAAGGGTCGACCCTTAAGAAGGCTAGTGTTGACCCTCGAATAGAATTTCTAAGTCTCCAAGAAATTTTTGACAAGAATAAGTGCAAATAACCAAACCAAACAAGTTTAAATCGGATTATATTCCTCCAAAACCAACGTACAACAACACCAAAAATTTCCAAAATAAAAATAAAGGATTCGAATACACTTCCCCAAAAGTTTTGAAAGATACAGGTTGCTACATGACATTTTGTCAAAGAAATACTAACTTCCTGTAATTGTTCAAATTGCATGTTCAGAGTGGCAAGTGATAGCTTGAGGAGGTGAATTTTTCCCACATTTCAGCTTTGTTAAAAATTTTCCACTAGAGCCCAACACAAGTCAATTCAATTAAAAACTACATGCACATTCAAATTTTGTCTAATACAGCACGAAATTCACACAAATGTGAAGACAAAATTGTGATTAAGCAAAGCAGCAGGGGTACCTGGGAAGAGATAGATGGCGCGAAATGGTTGATTAGGGTTTTGAATGGCGGCATTGTAGAGAGAATCGAGGAGAGGCGAGTGGCCGAGGCGTAGTCGGCGGCCAATTAGGATTTGGAAGTTGAGGAGGCATTTGGAGAGGAGAGGGACGGTGGCCAGCTTGTGGCGGTGCTCGTGTGGGTGCTGGAGGACCACCACTTGGGTGGCGGTTGAGATGGCTTCACTTGGAATTGTGTCGCAGAGGCACACGTTTATTGGCCTCTCGCACCCTCTGCTGCATATTCTCCGCCTGCCCTCGTCTCCGGTGGGACCTGGATCGGACAAGTCCAAGACTCTAGTCACTTCGTCTGCTTCCATAGCCAAGCCAGCTGAGAATTGATTAAAATTGCAGAACGCTGCTACAGACTCCACTGGGGGTCGACCCCAGTAACGTGGCGGGTCTCCATTGGCCAGTTTTCTGTTTTTTTTTTTATCTTTTCTTCCAATCTTGCAATGCCACGTGGCACTGGGGTCGGTGGGGGTGGGATTTATTGGGATCCGGCGCATTTTTAATAATAATAATAATTTGCATTTTATGTGCTTGTAATTTTTTTTTAATTTTTTTAATTTTTTTTTTTTTATGTCTTTTACTTGTATGTAAGGACATCTCTAATAATACATTACTTTTATCTATTAAATTTGAGTAAAAACTATCTTTGATATCGCTTGCTCCAACTATGAATTTTTACTTTTTATCAAACCACTGATCGACCGGTCAATACAAAATTTTCATAAAATTTTGCCTTGAAGTGGTCATCCGGGAAGATGTCCGCGGAATATTCAAGGGGACATTCAACGATAATAAACAATAATTTGATGAAAGGCACATAAAGCATCCTCAGTTTGGTGAAACATTTTTAATATTCTCAATTTGATGTCTGTTTGATGAAACTATTGGAGTAGAAAATAAGAATACTTTTTACTAAATTTCAATTTAGTGATGGATTTGACACAAGGTTGGAGATGGCATAATTCCCTTATTAAAAAAATTTAGGAGTTAGAGTTGGAGTTGCACGGCTTGTGAAATTATTGCATACTTTAATTTAGTTATTCGAATCGTTCAATTTTTAAAGAATTCGAATAGAATATATTTATAAAAAGTAAATTAATAAGATATTGATGGACTTTTCATCAACTTGTATTTGTATTTAATTTAATACTTACATATTTATTTTTTATATATATACAAATGTTAGTTGATGAAGGGTCTATTTATATCCAATCAATTTGACTTTTTATAAGTATTTTCTACTCAATGTTCTATAAAAATTAAACGATTTAAATTATCAAAATAAAATTCAAAATAATTCTCATGAACTGCACAACGGTTCAAACTTTTATTACACTTAATTTGAATCAAATTAGGAAGAATTACATTTCATTGGAGATTTCAACAAATATTTACAGACTAATGATAAATATTATAAATATTAAAAAATAAAAATATAAAATTTTTCATGATTTTATAATTAATTTTTGAGAAACTAATTCCCCCAATTAAATTTTAGGGCATTATCTAAATTACTTACACATTTTATATTATTATATGAAATGAAGGTACAAGAGTCAAAACTTTCACCTTAGTTTAGGGAAAAAAAACATTTTCCATTTGTGCAACACACATATTATAATAGTAATTTATTTATCATTTATTTCTTACATAAATTAGTAATTATAAAATTTCACTATATTCCCAAACAAATTATTATTTTTAACAAGGATGTGTTTGGTTAAGGGATTTGAGAAGGGATTTAGAAAGGAAAAAAGAAAATATAGGTAAAATATGAATAAAATCTATTTAATAAAGCAGAATGGTTTTTGAAAATATATAAAATATATGAGAGATACATTTTGTTTGAACGGCTAAAATAAATCTTACATTTATATTAATGGTTCAGATCAATTATAATTCCCGCCCAAACATTTCTCTCCTAAGCTTCCCACCTACCCATGTCTCCCCACCTTCCCTCTCTATCTCTCTCACCCTCTCTCCCTCTCTACTCTCACCCATGTCTCCTCCTCATTCCCTCTTTATCTTTCTCTCCCTCTCTATTCTTCTTGTCAATTCCATTTCCCCAAACCTCTCTCTCTCGCTCTCTCTCTTATCAACGGTGTCTCCCCTCTTTCCTTTCTCTCTCATTAACGGTCTCTACTCCGTCAAAACAATTACAATCGTCATCATTTTTGTCTCCGATGCCGCCTAGGCTCCTCCTTTTTCTCCATTGGTGGCTCCGTCAGATTTGAGAAGATTTGACCACCGTAGGCCTTCAAAATATCAAATCTGACCACAAATCCATCGCCATGTCTGAAAATCTTAGATCAATCATTGTACCTAGTTTTTCGCACTCCTCGGAGGGTTTTAGTCTCCTCAGATGCAATTCTCTATAGTTTGGACTCCCATGGTTCTGAATCTGGTTTCACAAGTGCAATGTGAAACAGAAAAACGAATGAAAGTCCAGATCCAACAAATTTTAGAAAATACATTAATCGCCAAAGATGCCAAAAATGGAATGCATTGCCAGATGTCATATTTTTTGGAGAATTAGAAAACCCGTGACTCGTGCCAAAGGCTACTTGTCCATCATAACCAAAGTTGTCTCGGCTCGAGAACTTAGTTATGAGACGGGAAGGTCATGAATTGAGCACCCTACTCATCCGATTAAAGATCAGCCTCTATTAAGTCATGATGTGAATTTTATGGACATTATATGCTCATATTCTGATTATTTAATATACTAACATTACTATGTGAAGTAAACAAGTATAGACCACGTCACTTACTTTGGAATGCTTTGATTTCATGCTTTCTTGAAAAGAGTTTTTGAATATGTGCCACTCAAAGGAAAAGCGAGCTTATATGTACAATAATCAAAGTCATTCCACTTTAAGCAAAATAGTCTCCACCCATAGACATTCATAGAGATATTTCGTATAAGCGAATAGCCTCATGGTAGTATGCTCAACATGGTAACACAAACACACATATGATGTGTTAAAGTGAAAATGCTCACCTAGTACTCAACCGTGACAAGCCAAAGAAAAGAAGATAGTTTAAGAAAAAATGCATGATCCTAATATGCAAAATGGCCAATGCATCACATACAAGAATGCAATTACTAAATTCGGCTACTAACATGATATGCAAATCAACTCAAAGCATGAGGTAGCGCACATAATCAAGTCGGAAATGATAACGACATCAAGTATGATGAATCGAACCTTAATGCATGCAAAAATGGATATAAGGCATGGAAATGATATGAAACGAAAACATGATATTTTGTACAACCACAGTAAGCATGTAAATAAAAAGGAGAATGAAATAGAGGTTGGAAGACATATATCAAGTGTTACAAATTTGCCTTCTTACAAGAGGGTCCGACTAACTATTACAATTATTACAAAACAAGAATGAATTAACTAATTATTACAAAACACGAAAAGCGACTAATCTAAAGGAATTTGAATGAGGTGCGGGGAATCGCGTGCGCAGAGATAGGAACATCCTCCGAAAACCTGTCTAGTTACTACCAGAAACTGCCATATTCACAGTTAGCAAACAGTTCTGTTTTGGACCTCAGGATCTACCCTGTTTTGCGAAAAAGCACCACTGTCGCACAAACAAGGTGGCCGGCTGCCCTGATGAACTAGTCGGTCATACAAGATAGTGGCAGACCAGCCACTTATTTTGGAAAAAGACTTGTTGCAATAGAACTGGAACAGAGCAAAACAGAGGGTTTCCAAAGAATGTTCATCTTTTCTGCTCCCTCCTATCATAATGATATTCAAGAAGAGATTAGGTTTGCTTCACAAATAATCAAACATCCCAAGGGTATTTAGAGGATGATTCATGAAACAACGGGACGAAATATTCAATGGATATAAAACTAAGGCTAATTAAGAAGAAGTATTCAAAGAGATAGCTGAAACCTGCTATATCTCATGGAAAATAAGAGTAAGTAAGTACTCAAATTTGGAGAGAATAGGTTTAGAGAAAGCCATTTTTTAAAGGGAAGCTTATTAACAAGAGATTACATCATAGAGGCAAGATATTAGAGATTTTTCTTCCTACTCATGGAACATGGATTGAAATCCATTTCCATGCTTCAAAAGGAACTAGAAGAGAGTCTCTAATACTTCCAATAAAAGAGCTCTCATATGGCTTCAAAGCAAAATCAAAACAAGACTAAGCAAACGAATGAAAACTATAAAAAAATTATTGTAAGCTCATTTTCCTACTCATGGAATAAGGATGAAACATTCATTTCCATGCTTCAAAGATGGAACTAGAAGAGAGCTCATAACAACTTTGAAAAGAAGAGAGAGAAACAAGAATCAAACTAACTATTTAAAGCTTTAAACACACATATATACTATCCATATTCATACAAAACTATCTAAAACAGTGCTGAAATTGAAGGAAAAATAAGCAAAAGCATGACAAACACCAAGGGAACATCACTAATGGATAAGTCTATGGAAGGGTGGCTAACCCTTCCACCTTCAACAAGGTTTAAATAGCATTTTTAAGCCTAAAACAACTTTGAAAATCAATGTTTAAAACAGAGGATGAAGAACAAGGGAATAAAAGAATATGTAATGAAAGGAGTTCAAAGATCAACCTCTTGAAAAGAAGAAGAGCTTCTTGATTCGCAAACTTCAATCCAAACACTCTTAAGTATCTAAAATCAGTATCAAAACTTCAACCCAAAAACTTTAAATTCAAGCTTCAATGGTGTATCTATAGTGTATATGTATTCAAAAGGGTAGATAATGCTTTGTACGCCTTTGGAAATGCTTACTCACTAAGTTTTCTCACCCTAAACTCTGAGGAGAAGTGTTGTATTTATAGAATTTCAGCTTCTCATGTCAAAAATATCTTCAAAAGAGAACAGCTGGCAAAATCCTGTGCATGTGATCAGCCTGCTGCTGCAAAAATATCTGCTTCGCTAAACATGGCCGGCCGGCCAATCAATTGTACGGCTGGCCCAATAAAGTGGTCTGCTCGTCAACTTTTGGTCTTGCTGCTCTTTGAGTGGTCAGGCTAGAAAAATAGGCTTTGGTCCAAATGGGGTGTAAGGTTTAGGTTTGAAGCTCAAAACCGAATTCTTTTGCTGAAGATTCGAAAGATTACATAGCATAACATTTCATCATCAGGTGTTTGGAATGAAGAGCCCAAGTCTTAGGGGCGGTCAAAATGGGGTGTCTATAGTTGCCCCTCTTTGACAGAGCTCAAAGTCATTTCATGATGCAAGTGAATGTCAAAGCCCGAAGATGACCCATTTGACGTGGTCGTAAGACTTGGACAAACAAACAAAATGTGGATACAATTGGTTAAACTTGAAAGTTGCCTATGTTTTCCTTTGCAAGGAATC